TGAAACTCTGTAGCCTTGAGTGGAGGCCTTGGGCCAGCTAGGGCAGGTGGAAAGCTTGGCTTCCTTCATTGCCGGGGATAAACCCAAGCATCCTGCTGTTTCAGTGGCCGCAGCTATCTTAACTGGGTTAATTTGCATACTTGCTCCTGATTAGCTGGTGGGTGTAGCTTGTGAGTGTAGCAGAGGTACAGTCAATTTGTGTATTACTGATTGGCTTATTTTCATATACATTCCATTTAATAATCTTTTATTAGATGAGATGTATATGAAAATAAGCCAATCAATAAGTTGTTTTCAATATGGTGAAGTTGTGAAAAACATAGAAAGAACAATAAATATTTGCAGAAATTAAATTAGGTAATGAGGAAACAGGATTGATCAATAATCCAATAAATGGTTCTCTTAAAAATTAAGAATAAAAAAAGACAGAGTTTAAGAAAACTAGACAAGAAAAACAAAGCTAGTTCTACAACTAGAGAAATAAAAAAGAAAACACATCAAGGAGGTGCTGAACAGGCTGGTTTGACACCCACTTGTGGCATGTTTTTTTAACCAGGAGGGATATCTAGGCTGCAGAAAGCTCCTCTGAGAAGCAAAGTTCCCAGCCCCAGACCAGACCCCTCAGCCCAGGGTTCCAGTGCTAGGAAGAGAAGTCCCAGTAATTTCAGGCCATAAAAACCAGCAAGGATTGCAACTGAGTAACCCGGAGGCAGCTGGAATCCCGGGCCGTTCCTCTTAAAGGGCTAGCATATGGACTTACTCAGACACTCCCTCTGAGCTCCAGTACTGAGACAAAGGCTTGGGGGGTTGGGGGGAGGAGGATCCAGGGACATATGGGGAAGAACTGAATTATATGGCACTGGAGCAAGAACTCAGGGGCAGCTTTCTCCCAGACAGAGGTGCTTGCAGGGGTCATTTTTCCTATTCTGAGACCTTCACCATTGCAGAGCTGATTGGATGCCATATCTGAGTTTTCATCAGCCTGACTCATGGCTCACACTGTTTGCTCCACCCTGGTGATTTGTTGAGACCCTGCCCATCCAATTTGCAGCCTCTACCCAAGCTTTTTGTAGCAGCTTTTCCATATGAATGGCTGTCCTTGCTTAGGCTTCAGTCTTTCCTAAAATCTCTCATACAAGCAGCAGCTGGAGTCAGCATGCCATATACCTATCACTAAGAGGCCCAAGACAGCTTGGCCTGGCCTGTGCACTTCCAAGCCCAATATAAGTAGCAGCCATCTACAGATCTTTCTGTAGCTCCTGGCAAGTGGTCCTAGGAAGTGACTGACTGCACCTCCCAGAAGGCCCCAGAGTCAGTGCACCAGGTGGACAACTTCAGATCATACCAAATTACAACTTTACACATCCACAAGCAACACACTCAAGAGGCAGACTTTGTGAGCACCTTAAGCCCCACTGAAGCAAATCCTGCTCCATATTGATGGCTCCTGCACAGCAGCTCTTCCACTGTATTTGCAGTTGGTCCTCACAGCCAATTGGCCTGAAGGTCAATTCCTCCCAGTGATGCCAACAGCAACCAAGGCTCAACTACAAGACAGTGCACACAACACACATAGGGATGCACCTAGAGTGCCAGGTCAAGTGACTGGGGAGTCTGAGCCACTATAGGAAACTGGGCCCTATAGGACACCTACTACACAAGGTCACTCTACCAATTCCATGAGAGAGAGCAGCTCTACCTAATACATAGAAAAAACAAACACAGGAAAGCAACCAAAATGCAGAGACGAAGAAACATTCACAAATGAAAGAACAGAAGAAATCTCCAGAAAAAGTACTAAATGAAATGGAAGAAAGTAAACTACTAAAGAGTTCAAAACAATGGTTATAAAACTGCTCAAGGAATTTAATAAGAGCTTGACGGATCTTAGTGAGAATTTCAAGGATCTTAGTGAGAATTACAAGAATTACAAGAACCTTAGTGAGATAATCAAAGACATGAAAAAGGACCATTCAGAAATTAAGCATACACTAACTGAAATAAAGAATAATTTACAGTGATTCAACAGTAAAGGATTCTGATAATTAAATCAACGATTTGGAATATGAGGAAGCAAAAAAAAACCTAATCAGAAGAGAAAAAAGAAAAAAGAATAAAAAAATATGAAGATAGCTTGGCCAGTGTGGCTCAGTGGTTGAGCATCGCCCTATGAACCACGAGATCACGGTTAGATTCCAGTTAAGGCACATGCCCAGATTGCAGGCTCAATCCCCCATGTGGGGCATTCAGGAGGCAGCCAATGATTTTCTTTCATCTTTGATGTTTCTATTTCTCTCTCCATCTCTTCCTCTCTAAAATTATATTACCGTATTTTTCGGACCATAAGACGCTCCGGACCATAAGACGCACCAGTTTTTAGAGAAGGGAAATGAAGAAAAAAAGATTCTGAAACAAATAGCGTCCTAAAATATTTTATGTGCATTAAAACCCAACATCACAGTCATAAACACATGTAATCAACCCTGTAAAGTAAACAGCAGCATTTAGAACCATTTTAGAGCAGGGCAAGCACACAGAGACCACACAGAGCCGGGCAAGTAAAAAAACTTTTTTTTTAAAGTATATGTGTAGGCTATATTTGGACCATAAGACGCAGGGACTTTTTCCCCCCACTTCTGGGGGGGGAAAAGTGCGTCTTATGGTCCGAAAAATACAGTAATCAAAGATGAGAGAGAATCATTGATTGGCTGTTTCCTGGAAAGAAAACAAAACAAAACAAAACAAAACAAAACAAAAAAAAACAAAAAAAATATATATATATATAAACATATTTCTGGGACTTCAACCACACCAACATTTGCATTATGGAGGTGCCAGAAGGAAAAGGGAACAAGATATTGAAAACCTATTTGAAGACAAAATGACAGAAAACTTTCCCTACCTGAACTTACAAATCTAAGAAGCTCAGGAAGTCCCAAACAAGAGCAACCCAAAGAAGCCCCTACCAAGACATATCATAATTAAAATGCCAAGGGTTTAAGACAAAGAGAGAATATTAAAAGCTTCAAGAGAAAAGCAATTAGTAAGAAGAAAACAAAAGATAAAAAATATGAACAATAAAATGGCTATAAATACATATCTATCAACATCTGAATCTAAAAATCAAAACAAACAAATAAGGAATATAATGAACAAAATAAACTGATGAATAAAATAGAACCAGAAGAATGGAAACAAGGAACAGAGTGACAAATCTCTGAGGGAAGAAGAGAGTGGATGAGGGGGGAAGAGATTACCAAAGAACTGACATTCGTATTATGCATTTTCTATGGACACAGACAACAGGGTGGTGAAGGCCTGGGGCAAGACAGAAACCAGTTGGAAGGGGGCAATGGGGGAGAGGAGGGAAGGGGGGGTATCTGTAATACTTTCAACAATAAATATTTTTTAAGTGTTCCAAAACACATAAAATCAAAAAAGTTACTAAATAAATTTTATGCAGTTATTTTAACTCTAAAATCAAAACACAACAGAGGCTACCTTCCCACACCAAAGAAAAGTACACACATGGACAGAAAATTCTAAATCCAAAATTTGGTTGTAAGGTTCAACAATACCAAGAAATATTGTTAGGAAATTACAAATACTAAAACCAAATTGGTATTAATGCTCAGAACACTCCAATAAGAACACCTATTCTTATTAAATTAAAAACTCTAAAGCCACATAGCAAAGAATAATCCATTTACATGGTTTTTTATATCTCTCCTAGCCACTAACTAACCCATAAAATTCATGGAGAAAAGGCTAAAAATATTCCAAGTAAAATAAAACATAATTTAAGAGAAATCATCAGGAAAGGCTAATTCGATAAGCCATCATCACAAAGCAGAAATTCAAATGGAGGAAAATCCCACTTGTATCAGCAACATCAACAATCAATGAAATCAATAATTAAATAAGATAAAAACAAAACCTGGAAAAATCTGAAACTAACATTAACCCAAAATATCAAATCCTAAACATGATGAAAATCACCCACCTTGACTATTATCAAAGAACTGAAAAGAAAATAGGAAGCATACTTTATGTCTAAATGAGATAGCTTAATAATACTAAGAAAACCATTTTTAAATACTCCATTCCTAATATTGGAGTCTTAACTTATAGGTTCTAAAGTCAATTCCTGAAGCCAAAATTGGAAAGTCATACAAGAAATGCTATACAGCCATTAAAAAATATGATGAACATTCACAGAAATAATCACCATAAATTGCAAAGAGAAAAAATGTAAGTACAAAAGGATCACTATGATCTCATGGTGGATGTGGGTGAAGACACAGATATCCTATATAATAAAGAGCTAATATACTAATTAGACCAGATGGCAGATCAACCTCCCAGAACAATCAGTGGGCAGGGGGTGGGGCGGCGGGGCAGCTGGGGCTGCAAAGGCCCATTCTTGCACAAATTTTGTGCATGGGACCTCTAGTATAGAAATAAAGATAAACACCCCAGAGTGCACAGTTGCTACCTTTGTCTGAGGGGGGAGGTCATATGATTTTATGCACTTAGAACTTTTGCAGAAAGCACAAAACTTTTATAAATGGAAAGGAGGGGGGCAGTTTAAAACTAAAAAAATAAAATTAAACCAAAATATCAACATTCTGTTTTGAGGTGGCCTAATTATGGCTATTTTTTCATTTCCTCAACATACTTGCCTGTATTTTCCAAATTTTCTACAATAATCATGAAAAACAAACTTCTATGTAAAACTGTTAGAGAAATGTGAACTACAACATGTTAAAAATTTTCATTTGGACCAAGCTCTTATTCTTTTGTGCTTACAAGTGCCAAATTCTCAGTTATTCACCAAACACAGTATTATTTTAAGACTTAAATTCAATATTTATCAAGAATTGTTCCCATCAGAGTGAAAAGGATAAAAAAAAGTCTGAACTGCTCACACATTTGTTCAAATTAAAAAGGAAAACCAGACATGGTGAAGAATCAGGAATGATGTATGTCCAGAGTCTTACCGTAAAACTGTTGTTGACATTTTTGGTGCTGGATTCAGCCACGCTGGCATCTGTCAGGTCTACTTCATCAAATATGATTGACTGGAGAGACACAGGGACCACAGTCAGCACGAAGCTAAGGCACCTCTGAGGTGGGCATGTTCCTAAGCCCGGGCCCAATGTTGCCCACCACTCACCTCAATCCCAATCAAGCATCCATAGATGCCAAGGACCCTGAAATTGGAGGCTTGTTGCCTAACTAAGCACTGACAACATCCCCACATCTAACCACAGGCATGACTCCATGATTTTTTTTTTTTAAACAGGGAGTTCACTAGTGATTGCATTAACAGGAAAAATAATGATAATAATGTAATTCTGAATACCCGCATTTCATTTTAAATGGGAAATATGTCCTCAGACACGATCTACCTGAGACAGTAGGGGTCTGGACTGAGGATCCTCTGTCCTTCTGTCTCTAGTTTCTCCAATAAGCACATTTGGAAGAAAGGTCCCACTAAAATAAATTATTCTAGTGGAAGAGAGACTGGCCCCCAAAAAAAGACATTGGGCTGTGAAAGAAAATGAGAAAGCAAAGTGGAAAGTTATCTAGTGCTGGAGAGAGACAGGCTCCAGGAGAAGGGATGGAATCTAGGCCTGGGAACAGGCCCCATTTTCCTCTCCTCTACCCCCAAACCTACCATCACAGTCCCCACCTCCTGTTAACCTTACTGGCCTCTCTACGAGGCCTCCACAGGAAACCACTGGAGGAAATAATAACTCAGAAAAGAGGCTTTGCCTTTTAAATAACCACTCACCAATCCCTAACGCCCATAAAACTAAAATAACTAAAAGGTTTTTTTTTAAATGAGGGAATGGTCAGAACCCTTTATAAACAAGGTGCTCTGTTCAGTTTCAAATTTTAATGTACTAACTCTTTAAGGATACATGTCAAAATGCAAATGATTCAGATTTTTCTTAACACCAAAATATCAGTATTGACAGCAACATGATACAAAAATACTAGTGTTCAGAATACCAAAAACTAGTTTTATAAACACACAAATATCTGAAAAGTGTAAGACCACATTTGTTTAAACATGACAGTAACTTAGTGACTCTCGGTGTCTCCTCCTCTTTCTCAGCAGTCTTACGTGCAAGATGGCACCCAGCAGGAAGTATCCTGGCTAGAGAGCCCAGGGATAAGGAACTGCTGTTCACACACCAAGAAGCCTGGTACATTTCAAAAATACTTTGAGTTAGTTCCATAGGTGTATACTTATCTCCAAACTCCTCAAAATGTATACATTAAAATATCTATGGCTTTTTGTATGCCAATTATACCTCAATAAAGTATTTTTTTAAAAATACACTCCAATCCATAAGAGATATATAAGTCTGTGACTTCTAATCTTTCTGCAGAAAAGACATTCAGCTGTAATACCGTATGGTTATTTCTGTGACATTTCTCTTTCCCCGGTGACACACAACATAAAATAAATAAAAATCAATGTTTATAAGCACCTAGATCTCCATGGAAACAAATAAAATCTAGCACCCTGGGGTATTTTCTTTACAAAAAACAGCACTAAACATAGAAGATTTCTTCCCAGATGAAGACCCAGTACCCTGCAGGTCCCCGGACATTTCCTCCATGAAGTTTCTAGTATTTCTCCTTACCTTTGCAGTCTTCGCATAGTACAGTGTTCGACCTCGCAGCTTGAAGTATCTCCTTTTCGATCGTTGGAATGAATTGTTCTGTTTGGTCAGCATCCCCTCTTTGATGACGGTCTGAAAGCACAGAAACGAACTCATAAGCACACGTTTTCACAGCACCACTGCACTCATCCACCCAAGCTGCACACTGACGGTCTGGTACATGCGCGTCTCTAACTGCTGACAGCCTAACAGAAATATTTCTCACACTCTCCCCAGACCTTGACCTATGGACAGGCCGAGCTGGGGGAGGGCTAACACAATTCTCTGTGGAGCAATGGCATGCCTAAGGGGTGGGGGTTTCAGAGGCCCAAGGTGTGCCCTGGATATGCCTGGGGAGCAACAAAAATGGACAGAAGATTAGAAGGACCATAGCAAGCAGCCTGGGCCAGTGCATTCTCCAACTTCAACATTTGGTATTTTTTTAGTTATTCTTGGCCTCGTCTCCATGCTCTTTGGCCTACTGCCATTTCTCAGGATCCTGTTGCCAAAACTGCCGACGTAGATTGCTGTGGGTTCGGTGCGGCTCCAGACCTGCACCCCATTCAGCCTTCATCCATATTCACAGACCAGGCACATTTGTCTGCCCACATTGTGAGAGACAAGTGGATAGCCAAAGTCATTAAAATTTATCTCATCTTCTAAATCTGAGGAGACCATAACAAAACAGGAGTTCTCTTAAGAGAATCAAGAGGTAGACAGCAGTCTACTCACCTCGTCTCAATGAAAGCTAAGATCGGGCATGGCTTATCCTGGAACTGTCCCCCTCACTCGCATCCCATGGGCTGGACACCTAGTGGGCTGAGAGAGCCCATCAGATCACTCAGAAGTTAAATGCCCCTGAGTCTACATGGTCATTGACACATGGAACCACTAGGAGCCACTAACCCAAGTCAAAACTAATAAACAAGATGCATGAACAAGTGCCTGGCTCTCAGCATCTGCAGGGTATGGTTTACCCCACCTAACAGAAAAGTCCATTCTACATAGTCTCATCACAGAATGGAGGCAGAATGTACAAAAATTCTATTATAGGACAAGAATATTGGTTCAAATAAGCATTTGTTTAATCACCTAATCCCATAGTAACTTTAAGTAACTTTTTTAAAAAGTATGTGTAAGAAGCATCTGGATATCTGGGGCCATCTCAGATGACATAAGAAACCAGACATAGAAACTTCCCATCACCCAAATACATCAAAAGGCAAGAACAGAACACTGGTCTGGTCCTTCCATCAGCCTACTCCTAACCAGGGAGGGAGCAGAACTCAGGATGCAGTGTTACCTGCCCCCAGAGGATGACACTGAAGAAAGCCCCTGTTCCACACACACCACACACACCAGGCTGTGCAGCAGAACCCCCACCTAAGCAGCACAGCAGTCCAAGGTGTCCTAGGAATGCAGACAGCATGCTCTTCTCCTATTCCACTATAGGATGTCCCTTCTGTGAGCTTCCTGGGCACATGCCAGCTCGCAACCACAGGCCAGGTATGATGGAAGCTGCTCTCAACTCCCAAGAGTACCAACCCAGGAGAAAATCTACTGAGGAATCTACCTCCTCACTCTGTTATGTATACCTACCTGCATCTTTACTTATAAGAAGGTTGCCCACCTGCTCTCCCAGGTAATTGCACCAGAAGAGAGGAATACAACATCACCCAGTGATCAAGAGAGACACAGCAACTACAGTCAGAGTCTGAAACCTCCATCCTTAACTGAACAAAGGCCTGGCTTTTTGGAAGTGTGGGAACATATGATAAACCAGAACCAGACAGAATCCAGACCGAGAGACAGCCCAACCTCCAATCCCAGGCTGTTTCCTGACCTTGTTTGCAGACCCCTTCTTTACATGGTGATGCTCATTTCAATGTTCTCTTCAAAGACACAGACCAGCTAGTGTGTACAGTAGCACAGAACCTCAGATGCCTGCACCCCCCAGCAGGAGAGCCTTTCCTCTTGACCCCACAGGACTTGCTTAGAGGTGCAAGCACCTCTCCTCACCCACGAGTTTTCCTTACCTTTGCAGGGAAAGGAATCTTTTCCATCTCTTAAGTGCAAATTTAAAAAATAAAAAGTAAATAAAAAATAAGCACAGACCCAGAAAAGTTCTGAGTTATTTTTAAAGGATAAACACTCGAGTATTTTTTCTTGCATCTCCTGCTACACATATCACACATAAGAAAAGCAAAATTAAAACATCATCCAACACACACACACATCTTTCAGAGAGCGGATGAGAACTGATCGCGGGCTACCCAAGGAGAGCTGCTGTTCTATTTATAGAACGAGTGCTTAGAAAAAGACTGGTGGGTTTCAGCGGAAAAGGCTGGGGAAGAGATAAAGTCGGTATTTCTTTGAAGCTTTCTCAGAAACTACATTTCTTCTCCTGATTCACTGCTTGTGAATACTACAGATGTGTTGCAGAGTATTCTTAAACACTTGGTCAAAAGCAATGAACCAAAGTGGTCAAGAAAATATTATAACACCTCTCAATAATCTGCTGTTTTGCATCAGGCAGCCTGTAATGAGCACCCACAGGAAACTGTGGGGCTGGTAGGGCTCCTCCTTACACTCCACAGAGCAAAGAGCCAGAGTCAAACACCCAGATCTCAAGTGCAGCTGGCTCAGGGCATGTTGGGCAGCCAAGTTCTCAGAATCATCCTGTCATGTTCTTTGCACAAACAAGAGGGCCGACTCTGTCCTATGTGCAATACAGGACACTTTCATTAGCACCAGAGATGAGAAAGTACACACACAGGCACTGAAAATCAGATGGAGTAGCAAGTGAGAATGTGAGCACTGGTCCACCTTGAGAGAGAGGAAGCAAATCCCCAGCTGGACTTGAGGTGAAACCCAGCAGAGCACTCAGCCTGAGCCTAAGCCACCCACTGCCCAGACAGACATGTGCCTGGCCACAGGAGAGACTGTCTAGTCACCTGCTGCAGGGGAAGCTCAGAAACAAAGAAAGAATTGAGGAAGGCAGCTCTGGAAATGTCCTTAAAAGAGGCTTCAACCAGGAAGCAAGGAAATGAGAAAACAGGCCCGGTGAGCCCTGGTCAAAACCACCTGCCCACCAGACTTCCTCTGTCTCCAAGGGACCGCATGTGCCCAGACACAGAGTGAGGATGCCCCTCTCTGGTAAGGAAGTGGGAGCCCCTCCCTCATCATTCCTTCATTCCCACCACAGTCCCAGCACTGCCTGCACAGAGTCTCAGAGGGTCAGGAAGGTAGGGGCCAGGGCCAGGAAGGCGAGGAACAGGCCTAGACCACTGACAGCCAGGGCTGTGAGCCACAGGTCATGGGGTGGTGTCTCCTTGGCATATATACACTTTTGAATGATGATTCTGGCCACAATGTGAAGTAAAGAGGGAAGGCGTAAAACCTAGAGGCAAGAATACTCCAGAAACTCATGTAAAAGAGCAGCCAGCAACGAGCATCTGGGAAGAAGAGACATGACACAGGCATGCACGTTAGGGAAGACCCACCACACACAGAGGCAAGGAGGCAGGACAGAAAACCAGGATGACTCCGAGGGTCCTCATGGGGAGGCTGTGGGCTTCCTTCTGGACATCCTAGTCTAAAGGTCTTGAGAATACTGGACCAGCTGAGTAAAGAGCCAGCTGCAGATATATGGTGGAGGGTATAAGAGAAAGTTTAATGGGAGAGAAGCCTCAAGGCAGTCCCTTATGAATAAGGAATGGAATGAGAGGAAGTCCAGGGACCCAACCAGGAACCCCAGGATATCAATATTGGTGCAGAGAGGAGGCAGGAATCCAAAGCAGAGGATGAGAAGAGTGAGCAGAAAACCAGGGAGCAGATAAGAAAGCACTAGGAAGACCTCGTAGATATCAAATAGAGTGGTAATGGGAGAAGTCAGAGGAGGACCTGCCAGGGGGAAGCCAGATCAAAGTGCACTGAAAGGGTTGTTTTATTAACATGCACGTTAACTATTTATAAGCATGGAATCAGACTGTACATACCGTACTTGAACTTCCTATTTTTTCTGTCATGTATAATGTCAGCACTCATTAGTAAACCTATTTTAACAGCTACAGAGTACATATTTCACTGTGCAGATGTGCCTCACTCCACTGCTAGAACATTTAGAATAATTCCCACTCGGCACCATCAACAATGCTTCAAAGAATACTGTTATAATGAAATGCATACACTGTCTTGGTGCCATTCCTTAGAGCAAATTACTAGAAGTAGAATTAGGAGATTAAAGGTAGCCCAGAAATAGATCTGAAACCGATGAGTGTGACAGCAGCAGCATCATCACAGGTTAGAGGAGCTAAGAGACAAGTCAGTGAATGGGGCTGAAACACGGGCTGTTGAAGGACAAAACACAATGGTCCCTTCCCTCACACACCATAGACAAAAGTCACTTCCAGACATATTACAAATCCAATGCAAAAGGCAAAACCTTAAAAGTTTCAGCAATTGATATTGAAGAATTTCTTTATGACTTTGGGACTAGAAAAGCTTCTTAAACAGAATTTTTAAAAATACTATACTATAAGACTACTAAAGCCAACTATATTCTAAATGAGAAATTCTGCTCATTAGAACCTTAACAAAAAAAGAGAAAAGAGAAGCCATTTACTGCAAGGAGATACGTGAGGGCCAGCACCCAGAATATTCTAAGAGCCTCTGCCAAAAAACAGTAACAAAGAAAAAGAAACTATTACAAGGAAAACTGGCAGAAGGCATGACCTGGAGTCAGCAGAATGGTGACTAAAAGATGTCAAATCATGGGCCTGACTAAAAGGAGCCTAGTGCTCTTGGGTATGTGAGTGCATGTGTGTATACCTTATTTATGTACATCATAATTTAACTTGATGTTGTCTGTTGTTTAAAAAAAAAAAAAAAGGAAAAACAAAATTAATCAATAAAAAGATAGAACATACAACTCCAAGCAGAGCTTTGCTAATGCTATTAGTGTCTCATGCATGCAAGTGTGAGAATTTCCACATTTTCCTGACCACTACCTGCTTGAAGGAGGAGACAGAGGCTGCAGGCAAGCCAGGTAATAGAAGGGGGAATGGGGATAAAATAAAAGGAGTGAAAATTTA